AAGTGAACATTGGCGGAAAGTGAGAAAGAGATAGAGAGCATGGAGAGGAAACGAGGGGAGTAGCGAAAAATCGGAAGAGAAGGAGATACAGTGATGGAAATAAGAGGGAAGGAATGTACAAAACTAGAGAGACAAGAATTATGATCTGGGTGGTGAAAATAAGGGTAGAATGAAAAGGGGAGGAGGCGGATATGGTTGTGTAAGGGGTGGAGGAAGGAGGGCTAGTATTTTTTAAGCTCAGTAGTACGTATTGCTACTTTGCTTGGGTGGTAGTGGTTGCGTGTTTAGCACTGTCTCTCTTATACAATTCGGTCTCTCTCTCCTAACTATACTGATGTTCCCAGTGCTGACAGTTCTGGTACCTCCTGCAGCAGTAACATACACACCACAAGCAGACGTGTGAACGTTTGACAGCACACCAGCAGAAACGCGCGTTAAGAAGGTGGAACATTACAAGTGCTTTCGTGACTCGTAAAATTTCATATATAGTTTTATATTTTCTCATCCATTCTGTTTCTGTGTCGAAGAAAATTATTACATCGCATAAAATGTCTGTTATAACAGATCTTAAGATTCGCTGTAATTGAAACAGTCTTTAAATACAATAATGTATTGAGAGGGATTCTGATTAATATGTGTTTTATTATTCTTTCAAAATGAACAAAAAATACATTATGACAGAGAATGTCGAATATGCAGTCTTTATTAAATTATTTTTCTCTGAAGGACTACTAAAATGTAACCTGTAATTTGGGGAACTTAAATTATACCGGAAGAAATGTGTTTGCGAAATTCTGATTTAAACATGGAAATTTATCAAAGTGAGAGAAGAGAGCCTGTAGTGAAATTGTATAGTGTGCGTCTTTGACATTTCAAGACATGGTTTTAAATATGTGACTGTGCTCTTAGAAATTGATAAAACTGGTTCCGGTAAGGGAACAGATGGTGCTTGAAGGTGACTTTATACATATAACTTATTATAAGTTTAACTTTTATCGTTTCCACTTAGTAAGTGCGTGGAAGGAAGGACAAATAGAGTGTGAACTCTCGTAAGTTTGTCAAGATGTATAAACATTCTCCTGTCTGAATAATGTGGTATCAGTTTCAAGGTACGTGACTCAGTGATGGCTATTACATGTAGCTTAGTTAAGTAGCATATGCTGGCCGGGCGGAGAACATGTTTCACTCAGTGAATGGATCGGAACTAATTTGATTAAAAGACTCTCTGTAACAACTCTACTTGAAGTTGGCATACGCGGCAGGGAATTTCAGAACCTGTTTTCGCGTTCCAGAATGTTAAAAGCTTATTTTTCTTCTTACGTTTATATTGTTCATTAATAGTGAAACGGAGGCGTGACTTTATAGGCCTACGTAATAGCCATTAGCTGCCCTCAGCCAGCGCAAGAGTCAATGCAGACAAATCTGTCTTTCTACTTCGTAATGGTTATTTTGCACATTCACCGAGTGCCATATGACGTTCAGAAAATGAGGCAGTCTGTACATGTTCTGCCATATGGGTCCGATAGTTGTATTTCATTGTTGAGGCAAACATTTCCCCAGTAGATGGAGTTCAATTGCTGGTCATAATTTTTAATTTATTTTTATTTTAAAACCAACGAGTTAATCTAGATCATGGATATTTCACTGTGTTCCGAGGGCCATATCCGGCTCACGATAGACGTGTTTTGTGTGTTGTAGTGAGCAAAGTATTAGGGATCTTTTCCTTGTTTTGTTGTTTATTTAACGACGCTGTCAGTAGCTCAGACAGTATAACGGAAGACTGTATGGAAGGAAGGAGCATACCCCTTATTTGAGGCACCATCCTGGGATTTGCCTTCAGAAGGGGTTTGACAAGGAAAAACTGCGAAAACGCTAAGCAGGATAGCCGCTGTCCCTGGCGAGATTTGGAACCGGGATCTCCCGAATACAAAGCAAGAATATCAGCCACTCGATCGCGAACTTCGGTTTGCCCTTCCTGCATGTCACAAAATTAAGGATCTTTTCTCTGTGAGCTTTCTTCTCAGAGACTGAGAACGGGATGGATAGGAGTTGTACCTTATAGGCATACAGCAATAAGAATAACCTGTGGACACTACAGTAAATGATAAGTCTTGGTATCTGTTTTACAGTTTCTTAATCATATGGACAGCCGCTAGGACTTCTTTGGCGCGGGATACGCCCACTGCAAGGCAGCTACATACCCAGGAAAATACAAACACAGAATGAACGCAAACATCCATGTTTCTAGTGGGATTCGAACCCATGACCCCAGTGTTTGAGCGGGCGAAGACAGTTCATACCCAAGACCGCGCGGTCACTGTGATCGGCATTGTAGGCTTATTATCTGATAGGAATTAGTGATGTATTTCCTATAATTTATTGTTTGGAGCATGTCATTTGCATTATTATTAGCCAACTAAGTAAAGGGAGCAGAGTTCATCTTCAGAAGCCGATATC